TAATCACATTGGTAGGGCTGCCAGATTTTGGCATTATTTGTTGCTCATCTGAAACAACAAATAATTTTTTAAATATAAGTATGCCCAATGCAAATATTTGAGGTATATTGTAATAAAAATATTTGTTTATCTGTCTGAAGTTCAAAGACATTGGCATCCTCTATTTTACCTGGAAGTCCTACATGAGGAATATGTTAAAATAGCAAAGTCTTGAATTACTGCCCAAGATATTCTAATTTAATTGGTCTGGGTTGCAGCCTAAGCATAAGTACTTTGCAAAATACCCCAAGAAATTCCAATGTGCAACTGAGAGCCACTGATCAAAACTCAGCCTATATTAAATAGGTGAGGGGACGGAAGTTCAAGGTGTCATAGAAGATAGCCAGCGGTAAAATGGGGATGAAAATTTAGGATTTTCAGGTACTCTTTGCCCTCTACTCCCTCCATCTTGAGTGTTAAACAGTTGAAAACACATTCTTCCTTTTGAAGCTTAACGGGTAGCCTCCTTTGAGAACTGTATTTGCTCTTAGGTCCCTGAAGTTGGGGGTCATCGCCCCCAATGTGGGTCACTCCCTTAAGTCCTGTAGTTCTCACCCCAGAAAGCATTAGAGATCTGCCTTTTATGAATCTTAATTCATGAATGCTTTAAAGTTAATTTATCCTAATTGTTAACCCACATCTGGGAGCTTTAAAAAACATGAATGTCTGGACGCCACCCCCAGAGATTCTGATATAATTGGTCTGTGGTGCAGCATAAGAATTGGAATCTTTGGAAAGCTCCATGAGTGATTCTAATGTTCAGGCAGAGATGAACAGTACTGCTTTCTCAGACCCTTTAAATGCAGTGGACCTGGGGCCTGTGACTCTAAAGTTGTCTGTAAGCGGTGGGTCCAGCTGAGCCCATCGCAGATGTGTGTAAATCAGCAACTTCAAAGGCTGGAAACGCTGAGCTTGACTGCAGGGTAAACCTGGAATGCCTCATATGTTATTCTTTCAAGACTTGTCAAAGCATTTGAATCAGTTCTAATTAAAAAACACATAGTTTCCTTAGATTCCAGAATCTTAAAATACCTATATGAGCCTTGTATGTATTTCCACTGGTTCTAGGATTTCCTGTTTCTCTGATGAAATGAAGAGTAAATAGTTATTTAAAAAATAATAATAATAAAAAGAGAGAGGTAGGAGATGGGGAGGTGGGGAGAAAGCGAGCATTTACTTATTCTGAGCTTTCTAACTAGCAGTTTCAAGGTGCTAGGAAACCCCTGCTAACCCTCACTCTTTCCAGGTGATCTTATACTTTCTCTCATTCATCTGAAGAAAGTAGAGAAAGTTACTGCTTTAGAAACAACTGTATATCAGGCCTTTCCTGAAGAAGAGAAATTTTTTAGGAAAAGTAGTTTGGCAGGAACTACAGTAAACAGTCAGACTATCTATTTTCTTCCAGCTTTCTCCTTCAATAATTGAAATGCAATCAAAGCATCCATGAATGAATCACACTATTTAAGATAGACATGCGGGGGGTCTTCTGAAGTCTCAAAATTGTGGACTTCTAAAGGTGGTAATTGGAGTGCTTATTAATCAGCCTGGCCACATTATATGAAACTACCCTATTATATCTCTATAGGCTTGGTGAATTTATTTAGGTTTAAATAACTAGGTCACACAATCAGAGGTACACAAACTTGTCCAATTAATATTTTTCAATTCCCAATCCAAATGTTCTTCACAATTAAGATAGGTGCATACTGATCATTTTGTTGTATGCTTCTGGTTTTTTATGTAAATCAAATAGACTTTGGTTTAGCCCCTTCCAAGTCAATTGAAAGAATACTCATCTATACAGATGGAAAGATTTATTGACTTGGTACCAAGCAAGCCCAATCCCCCCATCCAGTTCAACCAACCTGCAAGTTTGTAGATTCACCCTGTAAATATGGAAAGCACAGTGATTCCACAGTAGTTTATTCAAGAGTATTGTATTTTTCGACAAATTTCAATATGGCACATTATTAATCCAGAAGGAAAAGTGCAAAGGAAAGATGACCATCTTTATTGGAAGGGATATTTCTTTATAAATTACCATTTGTCAGAAAGCTTTATTGAGATAAACCTTAATTTGTGGTTTGATCCCTTTTTATTTTCCTTTCATCTCTTCTAATCCTCAAACATTTATTTGCCTCAGGGAAGCTCTATATGACAGGATTAAAAGTGAACGTTATTTTTAGACTATCTGGCTTTCAAACCTGTTTTCCAGAAGCCTTGAAATCAGGGAAGGAGAGAAGAAGACACTACCAGAAGGTATTCTGGATATAAAGTGACTAGTAAAGAAGCTAAGATCAAAGAAAATTTTGCTTTGTGTTATACTCGAGAGGACAGAACCCAAGCATGGATTATTTCTCCAATAATTTGAAAAATCCTGAGTTTGGGGCAGAACAGCACTCAGAGTTTGAAGATGCTAGTTTCAAGAGATTTTCAGGCTTGAGTAAAGGAACAGTGTTGCAGTATTTTGCAAAGAAAAATACAGGACACCCAATTAAATTTGAATTTCACGTAAATGTTGAATTGCTTTTTAGCATTAAGTATGCTCCATGCACTATTTGTGACTAAATATTTATATTTAAAGCACTATTTATTTGTACTAAAATTATTCATTATTTATATAAAATTCACAATTAGCAGGTATCTTAGTCTGCGGTAGTATGACAAAATATCACAGACTGGATAATTTACAAACAATAGAAATTTATTTCTCATAATTCTAGAGTCTGGAAAGTGTAAGATCAAGCAGCAGTTGGGTTGGCATCATGAGGGCTTGTTCTCTGCTTCCAGATGGTGCTTTATTGCTGCATCCTCTGGAGGAGAATACTGTGTTCTCGCATGGCTGAAGGGGCAGAAGGGCAAGAAAACATTTCCTTCTACCTCAAGCACCTTTGGAAGTGTACTAATCCCATTCATCGGGGTGGAGCCCTCATGGCTTAATCATCAGCCAAAGGCCACAGCTCTCAAAGTAGCTGCAATGTGGATTAAGTTTCAGTATAAATTTTGGAGGGGATACCATCATTTAAACCACAGCAGCAGGTTCCTTTTATTTTATCTGGCAACTATAAGAAGATGGATTTCATTATTGATTATGATGGACTGATAGAGACATGTGCTAGCTTTCTTATTTCAGATAGCAAAGAAGACTTTGGGACTACTGGGCAACATTAGGCTAGAGGAATGGCCTCATTCTATAATGGCTAAGACATAGTTTCCATCAGCTGGACAAAAGGAAAACTCAAAAAAGATTTCATTGATTTAAAAAATAAATTTGAGGCCAGGCGTGGTGACTCACGCCTATAATTCCAGCACTTTGGGAGGCCAAGGCGGGTAGATCACGACGTCAAGAGATCAAGACCATCCTGGTCAACGTGGTGAAACCCTGTCTCTACAAAAATACAAAAATTGGCTGGGCATGGTGGTGCACGCCTGTGGTCCCAGCTGCTCGGGAGGCTGAGGCAGGAGAATTGCTTGAACCCAGGAGGCGGAGGTTGTGGTGAGCAGAGATCACGCCACTGCACTCCAGCCTGGGTAACAAGAGTGAAACTCCGTCTCAAAAAAATATAAATAAATAAATAAATAAATTTGATATTTCTTGTATATCAAATCTTTGATTGCAGATGAATACTCACTATAATCTGAATCCCTGTCTATTTTAGACCTGTTTCCCAAGATATATTGGTAAGGCATTTGATCACTTTCTTGTAGACAGATAAAAACTTGGAAGATGAGAATCCTTAAGATTTGCTGTTTTTTTCCTTCAACAAGACAAAAGGTCATTTATCATACTATAAAAAGAGAGCGGGAGACTCCTGGGAACCATGTTTCTGAGATACATAAAGCCTGCTGTCATCAGAACCCTGTAGGTTTTTTTATTTTCTTGTATTTTTTATTTCTCATTTTTAATTATTATAGCTATATAATAGTACCTTTTTATGGGATACATGTGAAATATTGATAAAAGCATACAATGTGTAATGATCAAATCAGGGTAATTGGGATACCTATTAACTCAAGTATATATTATTTCTTTGTGTTAAGAACATCTCAATTCCACCCTTCTAGTTATTTTGAAAGATACAGTAAGTTAACTATAGTCACCCTAATGTGCTACTGAATACTAGATATTATTTTTTCTATCTAACTCTTTTTTGTACCCATTTACCAACCCCTTTTTATTCAACCCCCACTTCCCACTACCCTTCCCAGCCTCTGGTATCCTTCATTTTATTCTCTACCTCCATGATATTATTTTTTTAGCTTGCATATATGAGTAGAAGTATACAATATTTGTCTTTCTGTGTCTAGCTTATTTCACTGAATACCCTCCAGTTCCAACCATGTTGTTGCGAATGGCAGGATCTCATTTATTATTATTATTATTGAGACGGAGTCTCACTCTGTCACCTAGGCTGGAGTGCAATGGTGCAATCTCGGCTCACTGCAACCTCCGCCTCCAGAGTTCAAGTGATTCTCCTGCCTCAGCCTCCTGAGTAGCTGGGACTACAGGTGTGTGCCACCATGGCTGGCTAACTTTTTGTATTTTCAGTAGAGACGAGGTTTCATTGTATAGCCAGGATGGTCTCAATCTCCTGACGTCGTGTTCCACCTGCCTTGGCTCCCAAAGTGCTGGGATTATAGGCATAAGCCACCATGCCCAGCCAATCTCATTCTATTTTATGGCTGAATAGTATTGTGTATATGTACCACGTTTTATTTATCTATTCATCCAGTGATGGAACTTAGGTTGATTCTATATTTTGAAACCACAAATTGGTTTTGATGGAAACCAATGTTTCTGGTCAATGGGAAAAAAAAAAGGTAGGTTTTGCTCTGTAAGCTGAATTATGTCTCATGGTTGCAGCAAATGCATTAAAATCAGAATTGCCATCTTTTCAGGAAAACATGAACACTAAGTTCCTCTACATGACTTGTCTTTCCACATATGTCTTCCCTTACAGAGAAAATAACCTGATACAAGATGGTAATAGATGTGGCCCACTGAACTTACCATGGCTCACATTCCCATCTGTGAGCATCAAGGGAGCAATAACATTATAGATGAGCCACTTGTTTTTGGAATGGAGCACAGCTGCTATCTAATGGCCCGGAGGAACCACAGCCTGAGACCAGAAGTGAAGGAGAATACCTCAATCTGAAGGTGAAATCGAAGCAAGCAGATTCTAGTGTTCCAAGAATCAGTACTGGCCAGTCATGAGGATTAACATCCCTTCTCTCATTGACACTATGCCAAGAGTTTTTGTTTTGTTTTGCTAATTTTTTAAAATGAGCAACAGCCTTCAGATCCTGAGTTTAAAGGCCTGATGCAGGCCTGAGTCATTGGCACCGCTGTGTAACTCCTCTCTGTCGCAGGTGTGCTGCCGGGCTCCTCTGGGCCCAGCCAAACCCCCTCCCCTTCCTCCTCACTCCCCTCTCTCCACCTGACAATTGTAAAATTTAAGGAGCAGATCCGCTCAGGGTGGTATAGCTTCAGGCATATGAATTCTTTCCGGGGCTCTTTGAGCTTGGAAGCAGTTTAAAGGTAAGAAGGTTTGAAGAGTGAATGAGTTCCCAAGAATAAACATGTTTCAAAGGAACCTGAATGAGGGACTTTGTTTATGCGGGTTTTATATGACGTTTGCTTACTTAATGTAGTAACTCCTTGAACATATTGCCTTGTATGATATAATTTATTTACATAATTCTGGATTGGAAAATCATGAGCAAACCCTAGGAAAACTTCTAGAAAAAAGAAAACTTGTTTTTATATGGATTTTAAAATTAAATATATGTATGTGTATACCTAGGTATAGCTATGTGGATGTATAAAAATCCACAGATAGAGAGATTATATACCTGTATAGATAATAGAATTAGATAAGATATAAATATTTGAAAAAGAGGGCAAAAATAAATGTAGATCAAAATCCAATTTCCAGCCTGTTTTAATTTATGCCAAATTATTTCCTATAGGACATAAAAGAATATGGTGCTTTTAAATTATTACGATCCAAGTTTTGCTTTTTTAAGCATTTCAGTTTTTGCCACATTGATCTGTTACAAAACTAGGGAAGTCCTTTAAAGCACTGAACTGTTCGAAACTCTCATGACAGAATTATAATAAAATATTTTAAAAAGCAGAGTTTACCTTTAGTGTCTCCTGAAAAGAGGAGAAAAGAATTTCTCCCACAGTGTACCTAGGTAAAGGAAAGGAAAAAGAGTCTCTCTTTCTAGAAATGTAAGTGTGCTTACTTTCTTAAAAAAAAAAAAATTAGGGCCGGGTGCGGTGGCTCAAGCCTGTAATCCCAGCACTTTGGGAGGCCGAGGCGGGTGGATCACGAGGTCAAGAGATCGAGACCATCCTGGTCAACATGGTGAAACCTCGTCTCTACTATAACTACAAAAAATCAGCTGGGCATGGCGGTGCATGCCTGTAATCCCAGCTACTCAGGAGGCTGAGGCAGGAGAATTGCCTGAACCCAGGAGGCGGAGGTTGCGGTGAGCCGAGATCGCGCCATTGCACTCCAGCCTGGGTAACAAGAGCGAGACTCCGCCTCAAAAAAAAAAAAATTATGTCCCACAAAAGAGATTATAAGCTGCTTTTTTATTTTATCTTCATCTATGGTAAGTTTTTTTTTTTTTCTTTTTTTTTGGTCTATATCTTAGACTTCAGAAATTTAGGTAGTAGAACTGGGGATAAAGAAAATACAGAGAAGGTGGGAATATAAGTCAGATAAGCTTTTCAATTATAAATTACCCTGAACCACACAGGTACCTAAAACACCAAGACCACAGGATAGCAAGACTGATGATTTTAGTTGTCTAGGAAAAGCACTCTGTCAGTCATTTTCCTGAAGTAACTTACATTGTTCAAAATCTATCCTGAGCCAGATGGTTCAGGATAGATTGTCGCTATCCAGGTTCATTCTAATTTTTAAAAATATCACTTTATTACTGTTTTATAACAAACATACTACTAGATAACAGGAATGTAAGGCTAATTGCCATTTGAAAGGGATTCTATTTTGGATGCTGACATTCTTTCTTGTTGAGAAAGAGAAGAGATACTGAGAAACTGGTGGTGGAGGTGCTGTGGGTGCTTTGGTCCATATTCCATAGGGATCAGTAAGAAATATAGAAAATACAATCCAAGAAAGGAAGTGACTTTCAAATTTATTCATGGGGCATGTTAGAGAAGCTTAGCTCAGGAAAAGGTCATGTTTATTTTCTCCATATATAAATTTGGCCTCCGTATACTCCTCATGCTCCAAATCTAACTGATTTAAGCTACACCCAGATCCCAGGCCAATTGTTTAATCATTTGAGACATTTTCCTGTTCACTGGACACAGAAAAGAAGCTTTGATGAGAAAACTAGAAATTATCTGCTCCAGATTTGAAGTCAGTAAAACACCTTATAGGGAATTATTCTTTGTTAAATTTTATGGAGACAGCATTAACAAGCCACTTTAGAAGCCTGTAAAGTTACTAAAGGTTATCTACTGGGAGTCTCTGTCTAGGTTTGGATAATCCATTGGTAGCCCATTGGTTCAACAACTTTTCAAAGTTTCATTTTTCATGGTAGAATTCTTACCTAGTTTCTGTCTACAGTCAATATATCATAAATAACTAATTTGTAACATTTATGGTACTGACACTAAGAATAACAGGAAAACATTTAATAAAAACAGATTCATTTTATGAAGTTTCTTTCTTACACAAGTCCAACCTTCTAGTAGTTGAATAAAATCATAATTGTATTTACTAGAAATTCTCTACTGGATATCATTTGGGGGTTGGGGTGCAGGAAGTAGTAAGAGGGTGAAAAGAACTAGATTTATCGGATGAGGCTATGGGCTTATTTCTAAATTCATTAAAGAGTGGATTCACGTTATAGCTTATAAATACTTAAGTTTGTGGCTATTCTAGAGTGGCCAAAAATGAAATAACACACACTCTCTGCTATTCATGAATATCAAGAGTATCAAGGGGAAAATTCAAAGAGAGTTGAGAAATATTGAGGAAAAGAAACACCAGAGCTTCACAGGGCTAAGAGAATTATAGAAAAAGATTAGCTAGAGTATTTTTCATAAGTCCTCTGGTCAGCAATAAAAGGTAGATCCTCAATCCTATAAGGGACATGTACTTTTAAATTACATTTGACTAGTATTCTGTGTTTCTATAAATGAGACCCTAAGAAGCAGCTGAGCCATTTGGCATGCCCTAATTTATTTGGGTTACATGGCCATGTTTTATAGGCCCACATGAAATATGAGTTCTATAAATAATTATATCATTCCTTTCTGAATCTTCCTATCTTTTGATTTATGTTCAATAAATGATTGCAGATTTATTTGTAAGCTTGTTGCTTTTCAGAAACAGTGCTACTATTATCCCTCAGAATATTACAATAGTAATAGCGACATTTGTAAATACTTCGTAGTTTAGAAAATGCTTTCCCAATTATCTTTGTAGTACATCACTTTATTTCTACTCTGTGACGTATGGGAAAATGTACGAATATTATTTATGACCAGAAATAAAACAGTCTGCTGGTAAACATGAACTCGCACTAAACTCCAGGCTGCTTTTTAATCCTAATATTATTATACTTGGATGAGTAGTGGTCTTTCTTCTGCCTATTTTTACAATAATCTCCTCAATCTCTGGCTCCATCTGGTGGAATACTGTGAGGTCATGGCCATGGGCATCACTCTTCCTAAATCTACTTTATGGGATTAGTATAGTGTCTTTATGATTCTCCAAGGAAACAGAAGTAAGTCTTTCAAAATCTGAAGATTGGATTATCTATTAGGCCAATAAATTTTCTCTTGCTTATGTGACTGCTTCTGAGTAGAATGTCTATTTTACAGAAACACCTTTTCCCACTAGGTTTAAAGAAGAAAAAACATATAGGTTACAAACAAACTCTACCCTGCCAAAAATAGCTTACATTTTTTTTCACACATTTTACACCTCTCTTGCCACATAAATGTCTCCTATGAAGTAGAGCAGGCTGAGGATGCTATTGTAGAAAAAAAACTGAAACACTAGTTAAATTTCCCAAAGGGAGAAACATTAAAGAGGCAAAGACCAAAAGTCAAATGCTTTGATCCTACATGCATTAATTATAGCATGTAGATTTCCTTGTTTAAAACAAACAAGCATTTTTGTTGGCCGCTGCGCTGTACGCATCCAGGGGGATTCTTCCCACAGAGTTCTGAAGCGAAAGGCTTACAATTAAAAGGAAGAACAAATTTAAAGATAATTCGGGAATTCTATTGACAAAGCTTGTGGGTCTCTTAGACTCCAGCAGTAACTGCTGCTCTACCATCGGGAGGAGAGGGGGTTCCAGTAAGAAGAAAGTCACTACAGTGGTCCTGAAAAAGCCGCAGGTGGAGACGCGGCCCCGAGACATCCACAGGCGGAAACGGAGGTGCTGGAGCCGGAGGAGGATTTCGAGCAGTTCTTCCTACAGCTCCAGTTCAAAAACACAGCGAAATAACCAAAATAAACATCACGACGAAAACAACTTTTGATTTAGCCCCATTTATTTTCTGACAAAAGGTATCTTTCCAGAACCAAACACATTTGATGATCTAAACCATATCAAGGTCATCAATCCTCCTCCGGGTCATCCACGAGATGCGCGAGGACTCTGCGTCTCTTATCGCGAGAACTGGCGGTGAACTTGCGGACCAGGGGCAAGCTGTGGGGGATGGACAGTATCCTTCTCCAGATGAAAACGCAGGTGGAGGCCTCGGAGGAGAGCGCCCTCAACCACTTAAAGCACCCGAGTGGCAAAGCCGACGAAAGAGTGTCGGAGTTGTGCGAGAAGGCCAAGGAGATCCTGAAGATGGCGAAAATGCGGCGAGCTCGTCTGGCGAACACAGAGAAGCGAGTCTTCCTGAAGGAGGAGATGAGGTAAGGTTGGAAACTAGCTTGGATGGAACTCAGTAGTCGCCCAAAGCATGGTTAAGCCGCACCCTGTGAAAAGTTATATTCTTAGGCCCTCATTCTCCATTTTATTGCATCAAAAATTGAGCATTTGGAACAAAGTTGGGGTAGAGGAAAGAATGCGTGCTGATTTTTATAGGTGTTAGTATACCGGCTTTTTTTTTTTGCGTCTCCCCCCACACTGGTAATTAGAGAAAAATAAAAGTAACTCTTCGGGTTTGTTTTTGTGAGACATAAAAGTTAATTCTAACAGGGCATTCGCCAAAAGTAGACCTGTCTAGGCACTAAGGGAGTTTGGGGAAAGCCAAAGGAAACCTAGGCCGTAGAGCAAAATGGAACACAGGGTGAGAAGACAGGGAAAGAGAAATAAAGAATAAAGCCAGAGGCCATTACCTTAAATTTCCATATTGTTCTATGAGGCAGGTGTGTCAGAGGACCATGACTCAAAGAAATGGCGTTCTTCTGGGTGAATAACATTTATTTTTAACACCAGGATATGAAACTTTGAGAGTCAATGTCTTGTAAATTTCTCCCAGCTGTGCTTTAGGTTCCCAGCTGAGGATTGTAGTCAACTGGTAAGGATGGACTGACACCTTGAGGAAACTGAAACAGCTTGTCATTTTCTCTGTTTTTGTATGGTTTTTACCCCCAGGTTACAGTCTGCCTTATGGTCAGTGATTGATGACCTCGATATGGGTTTAGACCATCAAATATGTTTGGTTCTGGAAAGATAACTTTTGTAGGAGAAATACTTTAATAAGAGAAGTGGGGCTTAATCAAAAGTCGTTTTCATCATCACATTTATTCTTGTTACTTTGCTGAGGTTTTGAAATGTTAGGCATGGCGGTTTTTTTGCTGTTGACTTTGTGACCTGATTGTTTCTTGGTACATGTCAAGACTTGGGATCAGATTCTTCCAACTTTAGAGGCGCAGTGGAAGGCACTAGGCAACACCTTGTGAAGAATGTATTAATGAGACTGCTTTGCATAAAGCTGGGAAGAACAAGAAAATAGTTGGGAGATGGAAGATGGTTTTGTATACATTTTGGAACTTTAGTTCCTCTGTGAAAAGAGGAGACCTATGTTTTGTGGCACACTGTCTGATACATGTTGTGTAACTTATCAGATGAGTTGATTTAGACAACTGACCTTATATGACAAAGCAGTTTGAAAGGGACTATTGTAGAACCCTCACATGTTACAGGGGCATCAGACAATGGCATCAAAGGGACAATCTACAGAGGCTGGAGTAAAGAAAAGATATTATCAGGGCCTGAAAAGTCTCTTCCAGTTCATCAGGGTAGTAGACCTGTCAGATTGGAGGTCAAAGTTAAGCATATATTAAGTGTTAATTTGCCTTGAAAAACAAAGACCTAAAAAACCTTTTTTAAGAAATAAATTTTTCATTCACATAAAAAAAAAAAACTCATTTTAGTATATTTCATAATATACATTTTACATATTTTTCAAATGTCTTAAATATTACACAATAGAAAAACAAATGAGAAAAAGTTCCTTATCTACAAGAGTAAAAAACATTAAAATGAAATGAAAGTGATAGTAAAGCAATTTTGATTAAATACCCTATTTTTGAAAAAACTTAAAAAGCAATATAAACTTAAGAGTTCATTTTTAGATACCTCTTTGGAACCTTGAATGAGGTTACACAGGTAAGGACCCTGAAGGTTAAGCTTCATTAGTTTCATGACAAACAGCTCTGATTGACTGTGAAACACCATAGATGGAAGAGGCTTTTTTAAGGTTGGTTTGATCGTCATTATTTCTTGGTTGTCTCACTTACTGATCATTTTGTTCAATTTCCAGGTTTGCAATAGGGATATTTTTGAAAGTCAATATTCTGGAGTAATGTAATTTTTTTTTGTTTTTGGTAACCACCTGTTTTCATATAGGTTAGAAGAAAGACCACATCTCTGGTTTCAGGTAGTTTTCTGTTGTTGTTTCCAAAGTTTGGATATGGTGTGGCTGGAGAGGAAACTATGACTTATATGTGACAGCAACCAGAGTATCTACATAGGAGTTTATATAAATGGCAGCTTGGAGTTGTTTGATGAGGTGGCCATTAGTGTCTGAAGTGGCTTTAGGGTTTGGCATGAGAGGCATTTAATGTTTAGCACACACTTAATTTCCTGTGTAGACTTTTAGTTTTGTATCCTTCCTCCCTCACTTTCTCTTTAATTCTCTCCCTCTCAGGCAATAAACAACATGTTTGACCTGCCCAGATATGGCAACCACTCTTACTGATTCTAGTAGCAACTTATATTGATGACATGTTTTAATGTTTAAAATTCACTGTTGATTTGTTTCAATTCTTATCAATTATTCTACAGTCCTTTACTCTCTTGATGGTTGAGGAAAAGCTCGTTTCCCTTCTTCACTCTTTGTGGATTTTCTTACATTCATTCATAAGAAGAAGTATCATCCATAGAGAAAGAAGGGAGAGATTCTGGGAGATAGGGCGACAAATAACTTGACCAAGCCTTTTGCATCTTTTAGAAACTCAATAGGCTGTTCTCTCTGGTACCAGGAATTTGTGTGACATGTGACTTTTCAAAATAGATTCAGTTCTTAGAGAACATTAGGATTCACAATGAAACTGAGCAAAAGGTACAGAGATTTTACATATATTCCCTGCCCACACATATGCACAGCCTTCCATCATCTCCCACAAGAATGGTACATTTGCTAACAATTGATGAAACTAAATTGACATATCATCACCCCCGAACTTCTTACACATTAGGGCTCATTCTTGGTGTTATACATTCTCTTGGTTTTGACAAATGTATGAAGACATGCTCCACAATTATAGAATCATACACAGTAGTTTCACTACCCTAAAAATCCTCTGTGCTCTGCCTATTTATTCCTTTCTCTTCTGTGACTCCTGGTAACCATTGATCCTTTTACTGTCCCATAGTCCTGCCTTTTACAGAATGTCATATAGCTAGAGTCGTACAGTATGGAGCATTTTTAGGTTGGCTTCTTTCACTTAATAATATGCATCTAAGTTTCCTACATGTATTTTTATGACTTGATAGCTCATTTCATTTTAGTGCTTAATAATATTCAGTTTCATGGATTTACCACAGTTGATTTGTCCATTCACCTACTGAAGTAAATCTTGGTTGCTTCCAAGTTTAAACAATAATGAATAAAGCTGCTATAAATGCCCATGTGCAGATTTTTGTGTGAACATAAATTTTCAACACTTCTGGATATGTACCAAGGAGCATGATTGCTGGATCATATGGTAAGAGTGTTTAGTTTTGTAAGGAACTGAAAAGTCATCTTCCAAAGTGGCTGTATCATTTTTTATTCCCACCAGCAATGAATGAGAGTTCCTGTTGCTCCATATCTTTGCCAATATTTGGTACTGTCAGAGTTCTGGATTTGGGCCGTTTTAATAGGTATCTAGTTGTTGCTTTACCATTGTAATTTTGAAAACAATCTTGCAAGGTGGGGATAATTTGCATTTTAAGAGATGTGTGTATTGTCATGTGATCTGTCTAAATCCCTGTGCTAAAGAGAGAAATTTCCTTTCCTCCTCTACTATTAGCTGTACCTGAGGGGCCAAATCATTGATATCTTTGCATTTAAGTTTTCCTACCCAGGCTAAGTAAGAATTGGGCTAGCTTCCAGCCCTCTCTGCACATTAGAATCACCTGGGATGCTTTTAAAAACCTATTGTTTGTCGGGTACCACAACAGGTTAATTAAAACCTCTTGAGGAGAAGCTTTGACATGGTGTTTTTATCTTAAACCTTCCTATGAGATTCTAGTGTGCAGCTCTGTTTAAGTATTATTGGCTAGAGGATCTAAAAGATATGTTTAGTTCTTACATTCTTGGGCCCCACAATTCTGTGGCACAATTTCCATCGTACTCCCCTTTGCTAACATGTATTAAAACCACTTGCTAAATGAATCTTCATTCCCAGTTATTTTAGTATAGTTCTTCTCATTCCAGATTTCTTGTTTCTTTATGTTGTATCATATTTTCTCCTGCCTTACTATTGCAGAGGTGTTGGAGAGGAGATCTGCAGTGGTAAATCCCCTAAGATCTCCTACGTTCTCAGTGTATATGGAGATAAATGATGATTTATTTAGAAGAGTTTCAGTCTATTTGATGAAAAAACATCGAATGTCTTTAGGTTTCCCTTACCTCTCATACACATAAAGTAGGGTTGAACCAGAACAACTTAATTACTATGTCAAATGCTATATTGGTACACTTTCAGACAGTTCTAATGTACAGCTACAGTTGAGTGTGTCAAGCATAGCAGAGTCCTCAACACTGCCTGATAGTAATTTGCTTCTTCATGGATAGCTTTCCTTCCTGTGTCTTTGGAAGCTATTCCAAAATTTTATGTCCCCTCTCCTGGCCTCTAGTCATACCCTATCCTGCATTCTAAGATGATAAACTTGCAGCCTTTTTATGAGAAACTGAATGTAGTCTGTTACCAACTTTTAAAAAAATGTTTCCCGTCACTACACTTATCTGCCTTCTCATACATTTGTTCTCCCTGTTGAACATTACTTATTATTTCTCCTGTGGCCTATACCGCCTACCTCCTCAAGAACTTTTATTTCATTCACTACTTTATATTAAAATGAGGCTCAGGATAAATCTATGCATGACCTTTAGTGTCCTCCTGAATACTTCTACTTGATGGTCCCAGGACCATGTCAAAAAAAAAGTTATAAATTGCTGATCCCACTCTGTTTTGATTGTTGTCCAAACTGGAATAGTCATAAGAAATAAAGGTTCTCTATTCAACAACACCTATTGATCATTAACCTAGTAAAATATGCAAACATGCATATGCCCTTCCCCATGATGAGCTCTCAGAACTCTTTGTTTGTTGGGGAGATAGAATGTGACATGTTTCTCAGATAGTTTCTCTCAGACCTAGTCGTCAAAAAAAGTAAACAAGCAATGCACTGTAAAACACTTGGCACCTTGTAGCCACTTTATCCTGGTGCCACTTATGAAAGAAGTGAACTTTGAGCTAAGCCTTAATTGTTAAATAAATTCCAGATAGTTGCAGTGGTTGGGTTCTTGATAAGTAAACAACACTGAATAAATGTGGATTGGGCAGAGTTGTAGAAGGAGGGGTTTGGGGGATAGTGAGCAAATGTCTAAATTTGTGGGGAGTTCCTCCAGTTCTTGAGAGTGACTCACTCACAAATCTCCTGTAAACTAATTCACAGTGAGGTGTCAATGGCTTAATGATACCCCTTCTAGGACATTAAAGGATTTTTTTTTTTTTTTTAGATTAATGCTTTCATTTAAAGAACTTAATCTCCTGTGGTGGGAGTTTCAAGTAAGAGGATAGGATGATTTTATGGATATTTCAGAGTAGGGGAAAATTTTAGCATCCTCATTCAAGCCATGTTACCAAAGTAACTACGGCAAGTCCCTCTGTAAGATAAGCTAATAAAATGTTGGTTTTGGAGTTGCTTTGTTATTGTTGTTGCTATTTTTAGTTATTTGCAGTGCTTTTATGGAGAGATGTGGATGGATTTGAAAATAACATGGTAATTGTATGTATGTGTGCTTTGCGTATGTGTGTATGTGTGTGTTACTGTGTTTGTGCCCTGGGTCTTCCTAGGTGAAGGGCTCCCTTGAAAAATTTGAAACAAATAAATAAAATGAGAACTGACCTAAATTTTTGCCTCAAACTGGAACTGAGTTCAAGCTTTTGAGGAGGATCAAAAACTTGATTAACTGTTGTTTATTTGTTTTTAAAGGCTTTGCTTCCCTCTAACTCAAAAAAGTAAAAGCGATCAAACACTACCCTCTGAGAGAGACTCTTGTCTCAATATTTCCAACCGGGTTGAAACCAGAAAGTACTTGTGAGGCAACTGGGAAGCACAAGTGACTTGCAGCCCAAGGTCCAGGATCCAAGGGGTTAGAAGGAGTTCAGCTCAATTTCATATTGATGTCCAAGGAAAACAGCGGTAGTGTTGTTTTCAGTGGAATTGAGATCCTAGAGGGCAGAAAACATCACTATGTGAAACAGAAAAAGAACATGCGTTTGTGTTTTTCACCAGAGTCTGGGAGAAAACACATTTACTCATTGGTTGAAAAGTAAAAAGAGACCCATGGGATGTGCTGAAACCTGTGGGTAAACTTGAGGCAGCTGGTGTAAGGCAAAGCTGTGAGGGACCATTCTGGAGACTTGGAATTAAGGCTCTCTTCTCACAGCTATGTGACCTGGAACATGCTGCGTAGCTCCTGCAGAATTTGGTATTTGAATCTGTGAAGTGTTCAGTTGTTCAGAATACCAATGGCCTGTCTTGCATGACACACTTAGATAGGTGCGTTGTGCCTTTCTAAGTTTGATAAGAGCCAGTTGTATTCTTGTGAATAGTAAATTTTAGAAGGGACTCCAGACACATACTA